TTATTTTAACAAAGACAATGATTAGTATATTAGATTAGTTTTTTGTTAAAAATTAAAGATTTGATCTCTAAATGATGAACGTCACCGATTTCTCATTAAAGAACGCAGCGCAACCAATAGAGCACATGATTGAGTTCAAGAAAATAAGCATTATAAGATTCTATGATCCATCACTTCTTCAGTCATCAACAATGGACTTCCAGCTGCACTCAACAAGAAACAATGGTAGGCACGGAAAAGCTTGATAACTGATAAGGATGGGATTCTTCACATGCACTAACAATTCATCGGACTTTATCTAATAAAAAACTTAGTGAATTCCATAATATAAACGTTACAAGCATGTACAATGAGAATTTTTTTATATATTTTTTAAAAAAAATTAGATTAAATATAAAATTTTAATTTATGAAATTTTTTAATTTATACCTTAATGAGAAACTGAGTAATAAAAATTTTAATTTTACATTTTTTATTTAAAAATATTAATTTTAAAGGGCTTCCTCTGACACCAACTTGCCCGGGAGAAGAAAATTCTAACAGAAAACAAACAGACAGTGGTGGCAAAGAAAATCAAGAAGACAGAGCTGAATTCTGGAAATCATTTAAACCTGGTGTGGAACTTGGAGCGGCATCGGCTTTGTGGGAGTTCTGGCTGTGAAGTTAGATCATCCATGGAAACATCTCTGTTTCCTGTTGTCCAGCAACGTGAGGGTCCGCCTCAGCAACTTGAAGGACCGCCTTTATTTACTTGTAGCAGCAGTTGGTTCGGTGGTGAGAGAGTATGTATCCAGATTGGGAAGAAAGTTGAAGATGTTTGAGCCATCAGTCTCTTCCTAGGGACCGGAAAAGGTTGGTACACATTTTTGCTAATCTTGTTAAACATCTTCATTACTTAATTATAAAAACCATACCAGCGCAAATAACCTCATCTTATTGTTGTTTTTCAGGTTCAAGCATGTTGCACGAATGTCTTCTTCTCTTTCCACGTCAATCAGTCCAATCGTACTTCACAAAACTATAGAGATGGCCGCGCCCGTTCTGTTTTCAGTGAATAATTTCAATAAAATCATGGTTTTTCAACATGTCTTCAGGTTTTTGAGTTAAAAGGGCTGCCGGAGTTCACATTGAAGGTAAGCTTTTGTTTTATCTGTGTAGTGGGAATGTACAGGTTCTGTTTATTGTGAGTTTAATAATATTTCAATGGAAACAACAATGCAAGCAATTCACTTCTGCGGGTTTATGTTTCAAGTGAATTGTGTAATTAGAAAATAATAATGAATTATTTGCTTGTTCCTTTAATCTATTAGAGAATCTAATTACCACAGTTGATAATCTAGTAGCTGTAATCCTTTTTTTTTTTTCTTCCATTTCTTTTCCACACAGCAACCAGTTTTGGCGCTAGTTGTAGTGGTCATGCCATTAACAAGTTACAGTAATATAAAATGGGTTTTGATTTAATTGTGCTATTCCATATATAATTTTTCTGTTTGGTTTTTGATGTAAGGGGTTGCTGCTTATAGCCAAAGTTGAGTCTTCGTTTGGAGCATTTCCTGCAAACAACATCTATAAATGGGTGCATTTGTCTTTTAAGACTATTCTGATGTATGCTTTCACCTAATAACAAGATTCATTCATGAAAAGAGAGAACCTTGATTCATTTAATTCTGACTAACTTCTATTATTAATGGAGAGCAGGCAAGACAATACAGCAATACTCCAGCAGTAAATTTATTCCCTTTGTGTCTTCGATGTTTCTGCATTTGATGGCAATTTTTCTCTATGTAGGTGCCCTCTAAAACCAACATGTCAGGGAGATGAAAAACACATAGATGGCGGTGGCGAAGAAAATTATGATGACAAACAAGTCAGTAATGGCACCAATGCTCTTACAGTAATTCGTTTCCCTTTTTATCTCTCATATGTTTGATGCTTCTGCTTCTTTTTATGTGCATAGCTATGCTGACAAAGCATTTGTCTGGTGGAAAGGATTTGGGTATGATTTTAATAATATCACAATTTTGAGGATTATTGATCTATCAAGTAACAAATTATAAGGGGAAATTCCAAAGCAGATATGGAGTCTCTTTTAATTGGTGTATTTGAATTAATCAAGGAACCATTTGACTGGAAGGATTGCACCAGAAATCGGACAACTGAGACAATTTCAGTCACCTGATTTGTTATATGGCAGGTGTCTTGGACCTGCCATATAACAATTTTTCTGGGGGAATTCCATCCGGTACCCAAATTGACACTTTTAATGCTTCTGCATTTGCTGGTAATTCTCCACTTTGTGGACATCCTCTAACACCAACATGCCCCGATCATGAAAAACCTACGGGTGGTGGTGTCAAACACAATCAATATGAAGAAGATGAATTCTGAAGAGGTTTTGAACCAAGCATGGAACTAAGATTGCCTTTCAGCTTTGTTTTCAAGTTAGATCATCCAAAGAAACATGGTTGGTTCCTGCTGTTCAACTACATGAAGGTTCACCGCAGCAACTTGAAGGACTTCCTCCGTTTGATTGTGGCAGCACTTTATCTGCTGGCGACAGCGAACGCAGTCAGATTGCTAAGAAATTAAGTTCAAGTTTTAGGTGCCATCACTCGACGAATGAGGTATGTTTTTAAGTTGTTGCCATCTTGTTCAAGGGCTCTCCTCCTTTAAAAATAAAAGAGAAATCTCCCCGATTGTTGTTTTCCAGGTTCAAGATATGCTGCTTCATTAGCAATTGAAAGGGGTTTCACATTCAGTAAAGTGGTAATGACTCGGAATTTCCCTTGGGCCATGGTCGTTGGGCATGGACCAAGACTTAACCGTATACTGGTTGGTTGATATGTGAGCTATGCAAATAATCAAGCTCAAATTTCATGGACCGTCATGAATTCCGAATTTCGGGGCCCAATCTTTGTGGTCTCAAAATAATCAGTTGCGCGCTTCTACTGTTCAAAAGCAGCCCAAGCCCATTGCAATCGAATTGATGATGAAGGAATGTATAGATTCTTCATCAACACACTTCCTTTTTGTATATTTATTAACTTAAACAGGGATTATTTGTTTGTCAATGAAGTGAGTGGAAGAAAATGAGCGTTATAATATTGCATTGTAACTCCAATCATCAACAATGGAGTCCTAATAGAATCTAATTAATACGAAAACCATATGAACACCTAACTTAGAAAATTAGCAACACGTAGAGTAACTGGTATTGTATTTAAATTTGAAATTTTTTATAATTTATTAATGACATTTTTTCATTTTACATAAATGATTATATTTGACCATATAATGACCACAAAATATACAAATATATATGACAATATATCAACTTTATAGTAGTAGTAATTTTTTTTTTTTGCTTATTTAGTAATTTACTAATTTTACTTGATTCATGTAGAATCATAAATTAGAATATTTAGAGGTTCAATTTATTAATGTATTATTGTTATGGTTAACATTATACCTGCTGTCCACGTGGCAGCATCGTTATGTTAACTGGAATTGATATCATCAAAGCACATGGTCTTACAATAATGGTTTTTTAACCTCAGTTTTTGGTATAGATTAAAAATATTATTTTTATATTAATTATTATTAAAAAATAAAAATTAATTTTTATTTAATTAAATATTTAATTAAAATAATTTACAAATAGCATGCAATGATAATAAATTAATAACCTGACATAATAAAGAATATTAAATTTTTATTATAAAATATAAATCAAACGAATTACGTGAATTCACAGCGCAATTCGCAGCCTCCTGATTCGCCTCGGATATCAATTTCCTTTTCACAAACTCAATTCCAATCTGTTGTTGGGCAAAAACGGTATTTTAAAACAATACTCTTTTAAGTTTTTTTTTTTTTTTTAAATACTCTTTAAATTTATTAGAATTTGCTCTTAGGTTATTTTTATAATTTTTATAATTTATGTATTTTTATATTGAAATAAATTTATTTATATATTTTTAATTAAGATATTGATGATTTGGTGTTCGTAAGCTCATTCTTGTGACATGGCTATACTATATATATTTTATTCCCAGCTAGACATCGTTCAATGACATAGCAAAACAATTGTAACTTTTATTGTTTGATTAATGACAAAAATAACCTTGATTTTTCTGTCTCTGAATTGGGGATTAGAGATATAGGATTTCTTTCTTCTTTTTTTTTTTATCAGATCTGATAATCAATTCTTCTCCAGACCTTGATAACGCCAATTTCACATAGGTTTTAATTCTTTTGGACGTGCAATCAACAATTTGGTTGTTTTTTGACCCTGAATATGTGAGATGCATGCGCGTGGGACGCCGTTCGCCATGTGCAGCCGAAACAAGTGGCGGAACCACCGAAGTCTCCCTTTTATCTTTGGATAAAAAGGAAAAATTAGGATGGCAGCACGGTCTACTGACGATTATTAAACAAAAATGAGGTATAATATGAATTACAATTTTATCAAAGATTTATCATTTTATATTTTAAATATAA